CGACTATAGCGGCCAAAGATGGTTTGTCTGGTCGATTATTTCGCTTCCATTTCAACTGTTGTGCATTGCTACCCCTATAAATACCCCCCTAGACACGAAATAAAGGGGAGAGAGCATTTTGGGGCAGATGAGGCTTGAGCTTTTGGTGATTTTTAGGAAGAGAGAGAGAATTTTCACCCTTTGACAAGCATCATTTGGTGATTCCTAGAGATCTAAGCTCAGACTTGATCTTTTGGAAGAGTGAATATCTTACATCGATAAGATACTCGCTTTCAAATCCCTACTTCGATAAACGAAAAAAGGATCCTTAAACACCCTCACGATCTGTGAATCGGTGGTCCACGAGCCAAATCACTCACGGCACAGGCAAAGATCCCACGCAAGCAGCGATCCAAACAACGATCCTGCGTTTGTTTCTAAAAAGTTATAATTTTCCTTTTTTTGTGTAAAAGAAGTCTTATAAAAAGTCTATCTCTTTTGAATTTGTTGTAATCGACCGAAGATATAATGAATTCCACAGCAAAACCAACTTTTGACGCAAACAAGCTGGCGACCACAGTGGGAGCCAACGGTCTCGCTGCCGAGACCGTCGTGTCGCAGCCGATCAAGATTCCAGTTGAATCCACAGTCGAATACGAGTTTTACCAAACCAAGTTTGAAGAATATCTCTCATCATCCTCTTCAAGATCTTCATTATCTCGCAAGTACAAGAGGATCTCATCTTTGAAGAAGGCTTATGCGCCAAAGAAGGCAAAAAGTAAAGACTATCGCCCAATCGTTGTTGAGGCCTTGCCTCGCAACATTATCCCGGCGACCCCCAAAGCCGGAAGCTCTGCTCATAATGATTCCATCCTAATTAAGGAGTCGTTCGATCGAAGTTCGCCAACTCTGACGAAGAGGGCTCGTCAGAGGCGACGCCAACGCCGCGCTCGTCAATTGGCTAAGTCCTTGGAACAAACCGATGAAGTTCGTTACTATGCGGACTTAGAATCGAGGAAATATCAAGTGGTTCAGTCGCCTCAACGTCAAATCACTCACATCTCAGCAAAACTTACGTCGGAGGAATGGACTCTTGTCAAAAGGGCCCGTTCGACCCTCAAAGAACGCATACAAAAGCGTATGACAAACACCGTTCGTGCCTGTGCTATTTTACAATAAAGACGAGAAGGAAAGAAGAAAACGGTGGCCAAAGAACCACCAAAATTCTACAAAGTTTGGATTCTGAAGTCTGGAGTTGTGCAAAATCAGCATTTGGAGCCCGTTAAGACTCCGCACCCGCAAGGGAGTGGTTCTAAACATGTGACTCCTGACATAACCTTGGATCGCTCAAAGGCAACAATAATTTGTCCTGAGAATGCCAACAAGGTTTTACACCCTCAGAAGAAGATGTGTTCGTCAAAAGACATCATTATGCCTGGGAGGTCATACCAACAGACGATAGGATTTTCCGGCAATCATACCGATGAATCGTACTATCAAGCAGTGGGTTTGAATAAATTTCGAAAGAGAACTATTCGAGAAATAAACTCTCATTGTTCCTATGCGCGACTCATTAAAGCAACATTGTTGGAATATAACTACGCCAAACGAGAAATCATCCCGCAAAGAGTCTCAGTGTTCCAGAGGCTTTTCACCGAAATGTCAAAGCCTAGGCCGAGACGTTTCAGCAAGAAATTTGCTATTCAAGAGGATGAATTCACTGAAGTCACCATCAATATGGCTAATAAAGGAAAATCTAAGCGGCATTCAAATGAATCAAACCCCGACTTTTTCCCGGGAGGAAAAGTCAATTCAAGAATTGCCCAACGGATATCTCGACTCCAGTCATGAGCTATCAGACGTAGAGATTACAAGAGAATGCATGAAAGAATGTCCTCGGAGGATGAACTCTTGGACACTTGTTCTGCGATCGTTTCTGATGATACAATGTCTAGCACGGGACAAACCAAAGAAGTGTTCACAATCACTTCTGATCAGTTTGCTCAAATGCTTCAAGAAGCTCTAGCGAAGCAACGTGAAGAAATTAGAGCTGAGATGAAGACAGAGATGGAGTTAGCTATCCAACAAATGAGAGAAGTGCTAACTCAACGGCCTCAACCTCCTGAGTCCAGTCAGCGAGCTGAATCCAGCCGCCACACTCAGAATGTTGTAGATGACAGTGATCCAGAAGTGGATGAAGTCATTATGGCTGATACACCTCCCAATGACAATAACACTGGGGGTGGTTCAACAGATACTCCCAATAATAATATTGGGGGTGGTTCAATTGCACCACTTAGTAACACTGGGGGTGGCCCAATTATTTCTGCTCAACATCACTCAGAGAGAGATGAAAATGAGGACAAGAAAATGCAAGACCTTAAAAACAAAGTCAATGCTTTGATGTCCGCTCAGGAAGTAAAGAAGACGGGTATTCCGTGTCCCTATCCAAGAGAATGGGATTCAATACCGTACCCGGTAAAGTTCAATCTGATTAACTTCACACCATTTGATGGGAAGAGCTCGCCTACTCAACACTTGATTTATTTCAAGTCTCATTTGTGCATGATCTCTTGAAATGAGGCTTTAATGGTCCGGTCATTCGTTGGCACCCTTCGTGGGCCCGCCTTCGATTGGTACGGACGTCTTAAGCTAGGGAGAATCAATTGCTGGGATGACATAGAAAGTTTATTCCTCAGTAATTTCTTCGATGATGACACCGAAGTGTCAATCGGAACCCTTTTGGATGAGAAGCAAAGAGTCAGTCGACAATTTTGTCAAACGCTTCCGTAACAAAGCAATGAATTGCAGAGATCCTGTTACAGAGGAGTTCATCCTGCAAACATGCCATAATAATCTCTCCATCGATGTCCTGGAAGCCCTGGGGGTCGTACCATCCAAAACTTAGAAAGATTTGAAAATACGCAGTGAATAAGCTGAACACTTTCTTAAAAGAAAGAAAGCTGAGAGAAGCCGACCGACGACATCTACAATCGCTGGGAACGCGACTCTCGATCCGAAGTTTCAAAAAGAATATTCTTTCAAAAATGATGAAGCTCCAGCCATATTGAAATACCTCCTCGCCAATGACAAAATCAAGCTACCACCTATTAAAGATCAGGAGGGAGCTAAGAGGATTACGGATCCAAACTACTGTGCGTACCACAGAAGGGTTCTTCATCCCACCGAGATTTTCTTCGGACTCAAAAACAAAATCCAAGCCTTAATTGACTCCGGCGTCATAACGGCAAAACAAGCCAAGTAAAGACGACTTTAACTCCATTGGGTGCACGAGTATAAACTGTTTTCCCTAACTCCATTGGGTGCACGAGTATAAACTGTTTCCCCTCACTCCAAAGAGTATACGAGTATAAACTGCTCCTCGATACTCCAATAGGTATATGAGTCTAAACTGTTTCCCACTCTTGACGGGAAGTTCCTGGAGAATTTTTACATGTAATATTCTTAAGGATAACCTGGTCATGTAACTCGGTATGATGTTAGACCCAGTTTTGCGAAGAAAGCTGGGGGTGGATGGTTCATGTAACGGAAGTTCCCGAAAGAATGTTATATGTAATTTTCTTAGGGATAACCCAATCATTACAAACAAAGTGATAAACACTACATCCCCACGGTGATTTCCGAATACTCTTTTGCTGAGATGAGATTCGATCACTTCGTTGGATCAATCTTCCCTCACAAACCCTTATTTGGTCAGACCTTTAAACAGTTAGGACCAAAACCAAAATCCCCTCTCGATTCCTTTCATGAACGAGAGGTCCACAAATTGAACGATCAAACCTTTAAACAGTTAGGATCGTCTCAAACCCCTATTTGGTCAAACCTTTAAATAGTTAGGACCAAAACCAAAATCCCCTCTCGATTCCTTCCATGAACGAGAGGTCCACTCAAATTGAACGGTCAAACCTTTAAACAGTTAGGATCGTCTCAAACCCCTATTTGGTCAAATATTTAAACAATTAGTACCAAAACCAAAATCCCCTCTCGATTCCTTCCATGAACGAGAGGTCCACAAATTGAACGGTCAAACCTTTAAACAATTAGGATCGTCTCAAAACTCCCACTTGGTCAAACTTTCCTATAATTAAGACCAAAACCAAAATTCTCTCTCGATTCCTCTAAGGAACGAGAAGTCCATAAATTGAACGATCAAACCTTTAAACAGTTAGGATCGTCTCAAATTCTCATTTGGTCAAACCTTTAAACAGTTAGGACCAAAGCCAAAATCCCCTCTCGATTCCTTTCATAAACGAGAGGTCCATAAATTGAACGATCAAACCTTTAAACAGTTAGGATCATCTCAAGTTCTCATTTGGTCAAACCTTTAAATAGTTAGGACCAAAGCCAAAATCCCCTCTCGATTCCTTTCATGAACGAGAGGTCCACAAATTGAACGATCAAACCTTTAAACAGTTAGGATCATCTCAAGTCCCCATTTGGTCAAACCTTTAAACAGTTAGGACCAAAGCCAAAATTCTCTCTCGATTCCTCCAAGGAACGAGAAGTCCACAAATCGAGCGGTCAAACCTTCCTACAGTTAGGATCGTCTCAAAACTCCCACTTGGTCAAACTTTCCTATAATTAAGATCAAAACCAAAATTCTCTCTCGATTCCTCCAAGGAACGAGAAGTCCACAAATCGAGCGATCAAACCTTCCTACAGTTAGGATCGTCTCAAACCTCCCACTTGGTCAAACCTTACTATAGTTAGGACCACAGCCAAAATCTCCTTTCGATTCATTTTGAGAACGAAAGGTCCAACTTTGAATTGGATAATCAAACCTTATGACAGTTAGGATTATTCAAACCAATCCAGATTCTCTAGGTGGAGATCCCACTTTGAGTTTCCTTTGCACCAGGAGATAGAATATAAAATTCTTCCTCTCCGATTTCGGGTTCATCTCTCCCAACAAACAAGAGACCAGAAGATAGAATATAAAATTCTTCCTCTCCAATTTCGGGTTCATCTCTACCAACAAACAAGAGACCAGGAGATAGAATATAAAATTCTTCCTCTCCATCATTGGGTTCATCTCTACCACCAAAAAAAAAGATCATGTTACTCCAATAGCTACACGAGTCTAAATTGTTTCCCTAAGTTTCTGGAGAATATTACTCAGAATATTCTTAAGAATAACTTGATAATCTCCCAACGGGTATATGAGGTTAAACTATTTCCCGAATACTCCGATGAGTATATGAGTATAAACTGCATCTCCTTGAACCTCCTAATAGGTATATGAGGTTAAACTATTTCCCGATGGCAATTCAGATTCAAGACTTTGACGACGGACACGCGATAAACGCAGTACCGGAAGAATTTTATCTATTCTACAAAGTACTGAATAGACTAAAAGATGAAGAAGTCAAGAATTAATATCGGGCATAGACCATTCTACACAACTTCCTCAACAAAGCATTGATGAAATTGCAAGGAAAGCTTATCATATCCAAAGTATCCTAGACTCCTCTCTAAGATAATGAGTCTGAGATACTTTGGAGGGGGTATCTGTAGGCATCAAAAAATGCTCATAGATATCCAAACACTACTCAAGGAGGAGAAAATAACAGTGTAGACACAACAATACACCAAAAAGCAAGCCAGTGTGACATGCCTTAGGCGCGACAGTTCAGAGTGTCGCGCCTTAGGCGCGGCAATTCAAAGTGTCGCGCCTTAGGCGCGGCAATTCAAAGTGTCGCGCCTTAGGCGTGGCAGTTAAGGGTGTCGCGCCTTAGGCACAACAGCTCATGACGGCGCGGCTATTATAGGAGGTGTTGCGGCAGTTTCGCTTCCATTTCAACTGTTGTGCATTGCTATCCCTATAAATACCCCCCTAGACACGAAATAAAGGGGAGAGAGCATTTTGGGGCAGAAGAGGCTTGAGCTTTTGGTGATTTTGAGGAAGAGAGAGAGAATTTTCACCCTTTGACAAGCATCATTTGGTGATTCCTAGAGATCTAAGCTCAGACTTGATCTTTGGAAGAGTGAATATCTTACATCGATAAGATACTCGCTTTCAAATCCCTACTTCGATAAACGAAGAAAGGATCCTTAAACACCCTCACGATCTGTGAATCGGTGGTCCACGAGCCAAAGCACTCATGGCACAGGCAAAGATCCCACGCAAGCAGCGATCCAAACAACGATCCTGTGTTTGTTTCTAAAAAGTTGTAATTTTCCTTTTGTTGTGTAAAAGAAGTCTTATAAAAAGGCTATCTCTTTTGAATTTGTTGTAATCGACCGAAGATATAATGAATTCCACAGCAAAACCAACTTTTGACGCAAACACTCTACACATCCAATCATACAATAGAATCTCATAAAAACTTTTATGGGTTTTCTTCCAGATATGTCAATTTGCAGAATTATATCCAAATACGACATTTCTCATGGTTAACTATGAAGAACATAGATCCATGTGTCAAAGTCTACACATTGACGTGTAGGCGTCAAAAAATGCTCATAGATATCCAAACACTACTCAAGGATGAGAAAAGAATAGTGTAGACACAACAATACACCAACAAGCAAGCCAGGGTGACATTCCTTAGGCGCGACAGTTCAGAGTGTCGCGCCTTAGATGCGGCAATTCAAAGTGTCGCACCTTAGGCGCGGCAATTCAAAGTGTCGCGCCTTAGGCGCGGCAGTTAAGAGTGTCGCGCCTTAGGCGCGGCAGTTAAGGGTGTCGCGCCTTAGGCACAACAGCTCATGACGGCACGACTATTATAGGAGGTGCTACGGCAGTTATAAAGCAGTTATACGATGATTTTTTGAAGCCCACGTGGCGGCATATCAGAAAGGGAACGTGTGGTGACGTGTACAAGCACTTAAACCACGAAAAATGTGGTTAAAGGTCATAGGAGAACGGTTTCAAGCACAATAGAACGTGCTGGTAACCGTCTCTTTGGCCGCGGCAGCCCCCCACACTGTCGCGCCAATAGCCGCGACAGTGTCGATTGCAGCGGTCAAAGATGGTTTGTCTGGTCGGTTATTTCGCTTCCATTTCAACTGTTGTGCATTGTTACCCCTATAAATACCCCCCTAGACACGAAATAAAGGAGGGAGAGCATTTTGGGGCAGAAGAGGCTTGAGCTTTTGGTGATTTTTAGGAAGAGAGAGAGAGAATTTTTACCCTTTGACAAGCATCATTTGGTGATTCCTAGAGATCTAAGCTCAGACTTGATCTTTGGAATAGTGAATATCTTACATCGATAAGATACTCGCTTTCAAATCCCTACTTCGATAAACGAAGAAAGGATCCTTAAACACCCTCACGATCTGTGAATCGGTGGTCCACGAGCCAAAGCACTCACGGCACAGGCAAAGATCCCACGCAAGCAGCGATCCAAACAACGATCCTGTGTTTGTTTCTAAAAGTTATAATTTTCCTTTTGTTGTGTAAAAGAAGTCTTATAAAAAGGCTATCTCTTTTGAATTTGTTGTAATCGACCGAAGATATAATGAATTCCACAGCAAAACCAACTTTTGACGCAAACATGACGTGCTACCTTTCTTCAGATTCTATGGAGGGGCTCGAAGCCGTGTCTCAAGCTTCAGTTGTACTAATGCAACGGTAAGTCATGAATCAAAATCTAATTTTATTGATTCAAACATTTTAGTTGCTTGAAATTTAATTCAAACATTTTAGTTGCTTGAAATTTAATTTACATTATTTTCAATGGTGTTTGCAGATAAAGAAATTTAAGGATGCTCTAGGTAAGCATGGAGCAGAGGGATGCAGTCTTGGACCAGCAAAAGGATTTGAAGAATCAGAATTGTTGAGTTTAGCTTCAAACAAAGGAAGCAATTTCAGTTACCCATTGAGATCTTTGCTGCCTGGAGATTTTAGCTTTTATTCAGATTTTGAGGGAAGAACTGATATGGCGATGGCAAGCCTGCATTGATCTATCAGTTTCTTGTTAGGAGTGTACATAATTCTATATTTGAGGCTTTGTGTTTTTCTGTGAGAGCCCCAGTTTCAATAAATTGTGTTCAGGTTGTGTTGATTAAATGAAAGAGATTGATTTTGTTCAATTTTTATTGGGACTCTGCTGAGGTTTAGAATCATGCTGCTGAATTTGTGAGTTGGGTTAGAATTTGCTTTTGGTTTTTCTTGCATATTTGTGGATTTTGTGAACATGGCTAAGTGATTTACAGCATCAAATATAAACAACAAATTTGGTTCAATCAAACACTGTATCAAGTTCAATAAGACAAGTACTTGATTGCCAACCGTTATTGTTACATTCATATAAATTTTATAAAGTTAACTAGACATGATTGAATCTATTCATTACACAACTAGAAAATAGACTACTTATGTCTTAAATTAAGCATTTCAAGGAAATTAGTTCAACCCTCTCTCTCTCTCTCTCACAAAATCATCTGAGTTTAAACATTTTTTTTCAAGAATCGATAGTAAATATACTATATTTTTTGCAAAAGTACAATTCCCTTTGTTCTTGGTGTTTGAAATACTAAAGACAGAGATCACGCGACCCTCCAAGCTTCCAGCTCATAGCATTCGTCATATGACCTTACACATGTAAGTTTTGGGCCATCCTTATTTCTCAATCATTTTCCCCTTTATCCAATACATATAATTGATTAGAGGACCCAGAATGAAAAAGTTATATATGGATTATACAAAGTGAAACTTTGTATTTGGACATGGGATTTTTATTTTGGATTCATTTAAGCTCCTTATAAATAGCTTCTTCAGTTTTTTTTGGATATTGGATTAGTTGTTGGATGGGGTCCAGCTAACCAACAATGCAAGCTACAATCTTGTTGGTGTTGCGCCAACAATACCTTTCAATCCTAGAAAACAGCTAACCAACAATGCAAGCTACAATCTTGTTGGTGTTGCGCCAACAATACCTTTCAATCCTAGAAAACTTTTTGATGCTTATGGTTTATTCATTGATCATATCTACTGCATAGTCTACGATCACATCACTGCATCAGAATTTGATGCTTATGGTTTATTCATTGATCATATCTACTGCATAGTCTACGATCACATCACTGCATCAGAATTTTGAAGTTACAACAAAGATGAGGGTTATAATTTTATAAATAACATGGCCTTTAGAGGTTTAGAGCACTTTCATGGACTAAAATTCGGACTCATGAACCTGTATTTAAATCCGTTTCAAAAATTCTTCGTGGTCAATAAAATTTAAACCTATGTCGCTCTGGTACTTCTTTAAGTTGTCCTGGTACCTAAAAATATAATAGGAATAATTATTACTTTTTTCTTTACACCAAGAATACAAAATGGTATTTAAGTTGTCTCTCTGGTACTTTTGTCTTTATACCAGAATGATATAATAGAATTTAAGTTGTCGTTCAGTATAATTATTACTATAAGAGACCGTCTCAAAGAGTCTTACAGAACTGCTCCATCAATCATATTCATTGATGAGATAGAGACAATTGCTTCCAAGTGAGAAAACCTGCAGAGAGAGATGGAACGGCGGATAGTAACATAGCTTATGACTTGCATGGATGAATCACACCACACTCATTCATCTGATCATTACCAGACAGAAACATCTGAGAAGAAGACTGGTTAAGTTCTTGTAATCGGGTCAACAAACAGACCAGATGCACTTCAACAAGCTTTGAGGAGACCTGGACGGTTTGATCGTGAGATTCTTTTGGGTGTACCTGATGAAAATGCATGGTTAGAGATCCTGTAAGCTATTACTCAAAAATGCAAATGTGTGTTTTGGGGGAGAGTAGAGTCAATGAAATATAGTTTTATCTAATAATTAAGGCAGATTGAACTTTTAAGTGTTTTATAAAGTTTCAAAGCGAGTATTGCATGATTGCAAGGTTAGGTGATCCATGGATTTCCATCGATCAATTACATTGCAAATAAGAATGGTTTTGGTTGGGATGTTCACATGATTTGGGAAGAGAAAAAACTAAAAATAGGCTGACTACGTAACTTTGTTTTGGATGAATCCTCAAGTACACATTAAGCTGAAAGTAAAATAAGTCGTATGATGTTTTTTGGAATATGATATGGTATGTGTGTTAGAATTTGATTTTTTAGAATAAAACTACTACAAGTAATTTTGCTACGGTCTCTTAAAAGTTTTGATGCATTCAATTTTTAAATCTTTTTATTAATTATGTTTGATGGAAAATTGATGTAATTTTTGTATTCTTCTACTTGTGAGGGATGTCCGTTACTAAAGGGGTGGAAATGGGTTCTAATGCTGCAGAATCTTTAGTGTTATGTAGTTATTGCACGTGCATTGTAGAAGGGAATGATTGTTACTTGTTCATTACGCTTATCGACCGGATCCTCGACAAAATTATACAATCTCCTTCCAATGAGATATCAGTCGTCTCTAATGGAGTTGTGGAGATTAGTGAACCAAACACAGAACCTATTGGCACAGAAGAACACCACGCTAAAGAGAAGGCAAACAAGTCAAGCAAACCGATAGACCGCATAGTTAATGATCAATGGATAGCCAAGCAAAGGGAAAAGACCTCTGGCAAATACATAGGAAACACAAAAGTGAAGTCATAAGCTTCGAGATGAAAGGAAAATCCATGGCTTTTGAAAGAAATTAGTGCAAAGACTTAGAAAGACTATAACGTCATAAAATTGGATTTACATCCACAACATCAAACATTACTTTTACGTATATTCTTGTTATGGTATTTGATTGATCAATCACCTTGTAGATACAACCACTCTACTATCGCATAATTAATCCGTAAATATAAATTTATTGTCAAATAGTTTTAATTTTTAGCTTTTGTTCATATACTGGCAATATTGTGTACATTCAATAAATTTATACCAAATCTTTCCTTAAATATACTTATAATTTAAAATAATATTAAAAATTTACCACGTGCATTGCACGTGCAATAAAACTAGTATATATATAATATATATAGTGTAACACTCTTCTCCGCATCGATTAACTAATTAAAAGAGAACTATTTCGCATGCCTCGGCATGATACCAGAGCAAGGTTCCAAATACATGTGAATCCCTCTACCCTAAACCTTGGTATGCTGAGGGACTCACAACCACGTGCACTGTGCCCGCACTTCGCCTTGGGTGTCTTTATCGCCTTCTCAAAATCTCCCTATTACATCAACACACTTGTCAACTCCTAAAGAAATGTTTTAAAGTACTCTTATGTTTTTTCTGATAATACTTTTGTCGTTCAACATGTATTTCCTTCAGGCACCGACCCCTCAGAGACAGCCCGACTTGGGCTACGTCTGTACTGATACAAAAGTAACAAAACCCTCAGGTTCTTAAAAAAGGTCCAGGCTGAAGAAAGAGAAAATGTAGGCGGTCAAGTTGAGGTAACAGAGAATCACGATAGAAAAAACTGAACTGCTTAAAACTAGTAGTGAAAGAAGCTTTAAGGTGTCGCGCGCCTATGCGGAAGCGTTGCACGCACACACAACGAACTTGAGATCACGGAAGAAGAAAGCCACACACTTGCACAAACCAAGCCAATTACGATAAATCAAACCAAACACAGAGATATACGTGGTTCGGCAATTGCCTACGTCCACGGGGAGAGGATGGGGAGATTTCACTATATAGAGGAGAAATACAACGGGTTACAACTCACAAAATTACTCAAATATAACCCTAACTAAAGCTCTCAACTCCCTCACAATATCTCTCTCTCAAAGTGCTCAAAACAATGCTAATTCTCTCATTTTCTCTCCTTTAAGAAACCCTAAAAAACGTGGTCCTATTTATAATAAAACACAATCCCAAACAAAGGAGGATTCCCAAACAAATGAGGATTCTAAAAATGAGTCTGCCACACCCTGCACCATAGGTGTGGCAGAGGGTGTGGTGCAGGATAGATTCTGCCACACCCAGCACCGTAGGTGTGGCAGGGGGTGTGGTGCAGGACAAATTCTATCACACCCATGGCAGACACCACACCAGGGTGTGGTGGAGTCTGTTTTGGGTTATTCTTCACATTTTTCACAATTCCTTCACCGTTTTCACAATTCTCCACCTCAGCGAAGTGTTCCCAACACTGAGCCGACACCAACATGAGCACCAATGTATCGTCTCTCTAAACTCGGCTGCACCAATGTGGTTTCCTACGTACCCCCTCTCCCAAGGAATCAAGTCACCCGTAGTTCATCCAAATGGTCGTCAACGGCCTCAACAATCACGAATGTGCAACAAGTTTAGACAATGATCAAACTTGTTGCTCGGAACCACCATAGTGAACATATCCACCGGATTATCCTTTGTGTGGACTTTCACAATCTCCACATCGCCATCTTCAAGAACATCCCGAACGAAGTCATAACGAACGTCAATGTGCTTCGTCCTCGCATGAAAAACCTGATTCTTCGCCAAATAGATAGCACTCATGCTATCACAATGAATGGTGACGGACCGCTGCGATATACCAAGTTCCTCCAAAAGTCCTCGAAGCCAAATAGCCTCCTTCACAGCCTCCGTAACCGTCATATACTCTGCCTCCATCGTAGACAAAGACACCATAGACTGTAAGGTGCATCTCCAACACATCGGCGCACGGGTCAAAGTAAACACATATCCCATAGTAGACCGACGTTTATCCAAATTCCCAGCATAATCTGAATCAACATATCCAATGCACAACTGCCCACCTGTAGTGTCCCGCTCATAAACCAAACCAACATTGAGCGTACCTCGAATGTACCTCAAAATCCATCTCACGGTGTCCCAATGACCCACTCCTGGATCGAGCATGTATCTCGACACCATGCTCACCGCCTGTGACAAATACGGCCTCATACATACCATCGCGTACATCAAGCTCCCAACTACACTCGCATATGGAGTCTTCATCATCAACTCACGGTCTTCAACTGACTTCGGTGAAAGGCCAGCTCAAAGCTTTAAATGGGCTCCCAAAGGTACACCAACTGACTTCGTATCCATGCTAACATGGAATCGCTGTAGAACCTTCTTCAAATAAGCCACCTGTGTCAAACAAATCTTGCCCTTCTTCTTGT